GAGAGAGAGAGAGAGCAGGAGGAAACAAAGATAAAGAGAGAGCGAACCAAACTATTCTCAAAAATTCATTTTTTTTCCCTTCGTTAATTGACTATGGGAGGAGGAGAGGTTGGTAGACAAGAGAGAGAGGTAAGACAAAGATATTTCCCCTATATATATATAGGAAAAATCTTAAAAACGCATATAGGCGAAGTGCTACAGTGTTTCGCCCCCATCACAGACATGCTATATCCGTGACGGTTTTACCTAAAAATTGTCACGAACTTACGGGAGCTGTGGCGGTCCCCTTATATTTTTTGCTTCAAATTTGCGTGAAAAATATCTCATCACGGACTTGCTATGTCCGTGATGGACCACCATAGACATGCTAAGTCCATGACGGTCTTTAATCCACACGGTCCGAAAAAATTGGATGGAGCCGAGCCTATGGTTGAAAATACTGTTCATTTTCACCCATAGGCGTTTTGTAGTCTCGTCCATATATATATATATATATATATATATATGAGGGCAGAGGGGGGAGTTACAGTTTACCCTCTTTCTTTTAGTTGTTGACCAAGGTGCCTCTATAGCTCACTGTGTACATAGTTCCGGCTCGTCTTTTATCTTGAACCCCGATCTTCAGAAGAAATCTCAGTGACATTAAATTATCTGTTTTGAATTCCCTCTTTCAACTCTTGATCCCTATTTGCTCCCTTTCTCCAGACAAGACTCTATGTTTGGTCTCCTAACCCTTCGGGCTTCTTCACGGTAGCCTCCTTCTTCTCCTCTCTAGTTCCCAACCTGAACCCTTCCCACGTACTTAACAAACAATGGTCCCTCCGTATCCTTCATAAGGTCCAGGGATTTCTATGGATCTGGCTCTAGGGTAAAGAAGCGAGGTATCTCCCTACCCAACCAATGTATTCTATGCCACCAAGAAGAAGAATCCATTCCCCACCTCTTCATCCATTGCTCCTCCTTTTCCTTGTGTTCATCTTTCTTAAAACTCTTCGGGATCCAATGGGCTGCCCCTCAATCTATAATGGACATCTTCTTGGTCGTCCCGTCCCCTTCCTTCCATAAGAGTGGTAGAAAACTGTGCACATTGCCGTTGCAGCTCTTTTATGGTCAGTGCAGTTAGAAATAAATGCTAGAACTATCAGAGGTAGTGCCAGACTTTTATCCTCCCTTTTGGACTCTGTTATCTCTCTTGTTTCCTTTTGGGCTAGCAGCCTCCCAGCCTTTGCATATTCCCATCTGTCAACTCCGTGTTAGCTAGTATAGCCTCCTCTCACTAACCTCTACATCCGCCTCGATTAGGGGTTAAAGTGGAGTGTGACTTCTTAAAGAGGATACGTACTCATTGCCACTTTTCAGCAGTTAAAGTGGAGTGTAACTCAAGAAATGTCATCTCATGGGCTGATAATACAGTATTGGTATTCATATTTGAACTCATCACCCTCATTTGCAGAGACTTCCGGCAGTGACTTTCACTCACATCTTAGAGGTGCCAATTCCATGGCGGATGGCCAACCGAAGCACATTGCCCTCATTGGAGTTCTTGCCACACAGACCTGCTGCCTGTGACCTTCATATGTTTCATTTGGGGGCCAAATCAGTAGCTCATGGCCTTGCTAAAAAAAGTGCTCGCAACACCTCCCCTACTCTCTTACTCTCACTACATGTACGCTATATTATATATCCCTAGTCCCTCTATGGCTAACCCCCTTCCCCTCCCTCCTCTTTTATCTACGTTTCCTTTATCGCTCTTCTCCCTCCCCTGCCTTAGGTCGTCCCAAAAAAAAAAAGCAAAGCAAAAATACAATAAAAAAATTGAGGAAAAAAATCTGAAAGAAGAAAAAAAAAGAAGAGCAGATTAGTTGAAAGTGAATGGATTGGATTTTCTCTCTCTTCTCCCTTCTATTTTATCTCAAGTCTCTGGGCTCCATCCCTCTTCTTTTTATTTCTCTATGGTATCAATGCCCTTCTCTTCTTCCCATCTTTCACTTTCTCTGCTCTACCCATTCTCCCCCTTCCACTATCTATCATCTCTATGCTCTACCCATCTCCTCTCCTTCTCCCTCGCTCTACTCTTCTTTTACTCTCTTTGCTTTACCCCTTCTCCCCTCTCCATTTTCTATCATCGCCCTATTCTACCACATCTCCTCTTCGTCTTTCTCTCTGGTCTCTTTGCGTTGCCCATCCCCTCCTACGCTCCCCTCTCTATTATTATCTTCCCGTAGGTTTTCGCAAGGGACGCCTTCTTGTGAAGGAAGGCGGTAAGAGGTTCTTAACCTCACATCCTCATCCGTTACAGCCACAGAAACTCGCTTCCCCACAATTCTCACTACCAGGTGTTTTGAAACTCTCCAAATTGGCATAGATCTTGGTACTGGGCATCTTCGACCTCTCAGAATTCAGTGTTGGATTCTGTTGAATACTTTTCCCTTTTTTGGGCACATTTTCTCTCCTCTGGACTCTCTCCACTTCTCTATTCTATCGCCCTTCTACTTTACCACTTCACTTTTGTTGGTTTTTGCACTTCTTTATTGCCACCCTACTCGCTGTAGCCTTTCAATCCTTATGTTATTTTCCTTTTGAGTTTGTTGTTATACTTCTGCTCCTCCCTGTACTTTGAGCACCCATTTTGTGGGTTGCCATTTCTACCACACCTTGTGGTTTTGTATTCTTTTGCTTTTATTTAACAAAGTTAACGAGTTTCAAAAAAATAAATGATTAACTCTACCCATAACAAAACAAGAAATAACAACTAGAATAAAAAGAACAATAAAACATAATAAAAACCTACGAAACCCTAAGTACATTAAGTAGATGACTACTAAAAATAAGCCCTAAAAATCCCCAAAATATGACCTTAGTTCCCTTAATTAAAATCCATAAAAAAACCCAAATTAAACTATCTTGTGCCTGCGTCAATCTCCTCTGGTTGGAGAAAACTCGTCCTTGAGTTTTGAAGAGGGCTATGATGAGATCTGCATCCAATCTACATCTTTCTTTTGCCTTCTTCTCTTTTGCCTCTAAAAGTATACATGGTTGTCAAAATACCTCAAGAAAATGGATAAAAAATGGAGATGGAGGAATTAATACAGATTTGTTAATTTGAACCATCCTTTCATCATTTATCGGTTTGTGATTAACACTGTTCTCCTCAAATTCCAACACCTTGCATGAAATAGGATTTTTCATATGGGCAGGAAGCTTGATCTCAGGAATTGAAGGGTTAGGTCATTGAAATCTTCACTAACCTAGGCCATTGGAGGTTGGTTAGGAACAAGATGAAAGTCACTTCCTTCACCATCATTGCCTTGATCTCAAACACTAGTCTTCAAATTCCATTTATGTTGAAGCTGAGCGACCTTGTGCGTGAGCTCATCTACTCTCTCAGCTAAGGGCATGAGTTTTCCTAGTTTCTCCACTAGGGCTTGAACTAGTTGAGTCAACAAATTTAATCCTTAGAGGGGTGCCTCTTTTGAAGGTATCAGAATCCGCTCTGAGACCAATTGACCCAAATTAGGGTTGATTCTTGACAAATAACCAACTTTTTTGAGAGGGATCTCCTTCCCTTAGAATACAAGAATTTAGGTAACTCAAAAAACAAAGAAAGCTCCTAAGAAATCCTAGCCATCTATTCTATTTAACCATAGCGACCCATTATTAACTTAAAAATGAATGATCGACTCTACCCCTAACAAAATAAGAAATAACAACTCTAAAAACAAGAACAATAAAACATAATAAAAACTTACTAAACCATAATAACCTAAAGTAGATGACTACTAAAAATATGCCCTAAAAATCCCCAAAATATAACCTTAGTTTACTTAATTAAAATCTATAAAGAACCCCAAATTAAACTATCCCATGCCTATGTCATTTTCTCTTTCTCTTTTTGATGGATTCAAGTGCATTGGGGACATAATAATGATTGTATGGTATAACAACTGTTATATTGCTTTTTGATTCCTTGCAGTTTGGGGGCTACTTGGTGCATACAACTGATGAAGATTTGGGGAACGATTCTAATGTATGTATTCACTTGGGTTTGACAGATTACAGGTTCATCTCACATCATTCTATTGTTTTCAATTTAAAAGATCGAATGTTTTTTGGACAAGATATATAGGGTGCTAGATATATCCCACAACCCAGATGTTTGGTAATGACATCCGTCTTGTCATATTTTTAGTTAAATGAACGAGGCACACAATAATGCAGGATGTTTGTGGTGAATTATTGCTAGAAGGGGGTGTACAAAAGTATAAGCTAGTCCCAAAATGCATTGTTTTGTTAGTCTTGTCCATGTTGGGGAGAGAAATGGAAAGCATATCTAAATTCTAATGTACTGACCACGATGTAGTACACTGTATCGAAGTAAGCTCTAGTTCTACATTTCTGCAGTATATGTAGATATCACATGTGCCTTATTCGTCACGTTCTATAAAAGTTTGGATTTCTTTTGCTAGTTTAGCTTTTACAAATATAAGTGATTTTTATGCCTTTACTTGATTCTATGTCCCTTCCTTCAAAAGCTGCTGAGAGTTGTCTTGAATGCAATCTCCTCGATTCTGTTGGAGTAATACCATATTTGTGTAACGTGAAGCATTAAATTTAAAATTAATCCAAAGATTGATTCTTTGTACATATCATTTACTATTTTAAATCTTGACTACCATCATAGGCATACAACCCCATGTATATGCAGATACATAACCACACAAGCATATGTGCATGTGCATGTGCATGTTTGTGGGTAAAAATATTCAATATTTAGAAAAATGTCAAGTAGGTAGTTGGGATGTTGTTTGAACCTTTAAGCTGCTTATTTGGAGGAAAATGTCACATCGTCTACATACATCTTGGATATTGAATAGAGATGGTTAAGGCATGGAGGGTAGGAACTTGACGCGATGTTTGAACCTGGCTCCTTATTTGGAGGAAAATGTCACATTATCTGATATTTTTTTATTGAAATATCACTTACTTTTATCTTTATTTTAAGGAGAAGTGTAGCGTGAGTTAGTGGATGCAAGGGCCCACTGACTGTTAAACGTCCATCCTAAAGATGGATGTTGTGCAACATAAGTAATGTATGGACCGTGTCCCAAAAAAAGCCAAAAAAATATATTTTTAATTTCAAAGATTTACTTTTCTTTTCATATTCGTGATCACCTTGGCCTGGATGATGAATCTATAAGAAAATTAGTTAAAAAATCCATCTTTAAAATGAATTTTAGAATGGGGCCACATGTGTCCATATGAGTCGGCTGACTCAATAGAATCCTCATCCTTATTTTAAAAGCAGTATTAGTTTTGTGTTCTTGAAAGGTCCTCCATGAAGGAGTGCCATGTTATCTAATCCAAATTATTATTTTCGTGTAATTCTTGAACTGTTGTGTTCTTAAGATGTCACTCTCTTGCCTATTCGGCTTTTACATTGAGTTGACCTATACATTCGACTGCTAATATTTTCTTCTCGAAATACTTTCATCTTAGAAGAGTAGAAATTGCATTGCAATATTCACTCTTGAAAGCTGCTACTATTACTTATCTATTTGACTTTCCTAGAAGTTCATACAAACCATATGAGTACTTTAAAGCCGCATCTTTAGGGAGAACCTAGAAACCATGCTACAGTTGGAAAATCTTTTAAAAATATTATTTTAAAATTATTTTATGTGAAAAGCTTCAAGAGTACTTCAGAGCCTAAATACCCCTTTACACAAAGACAAGTCATGAAAAAACCACTAACTGTAAGTTATAATTATAATATGTGAAAATGGAAATTCTTATGTGCTTTTAGGTAGCTGAGTGCATGCAAAGGAGTAACAAGAATATAAGCGATAATTGAGGGCGCTAAGTAGTAACTATAGAGACAACCTTAAATAAACTTCCAACATGAACCACTAGAGATTAGGATACCCTAGTAAGCTAGCATGTTTACGCTACCTTTATAAATTTTGTTGCCTATATTAAAAAATAAATAAATGGCAGTCTACATGTTTGGCAATGAGGTAATTACTCAATTTGACTTATATGATGAAAGCGAGCCAAACAAGTTCACTCCTGTTTGCCCCCTTTCTGGTATCAGAGCCCATAGGTTCGGTCCTGTTTTCCCTCTTCTGCTATAGTGAAGCTTGGTGGAAAAGTAGTTTTGCTAAAAACGGTAGTCTACATGTTTGCCAATGAGGTAATCACTCAATTTGACTTATATGATGAAAGCGAGCAAAAGAAGTTCACTATTTATTTAGTAGCACATAAAGGAGGAAATCGATATTCCTTAAGAGATCTACAACTAGATAGCTCTCTTAAGGAAGAAGATTTTGATGATACTACTATGGGGAATATCGAATGGGAAGGTGCTCCCTTTCCCATAGATGAAATTGTTCAGTGGGAAAGAACATTTCCATACTTCAAAAGAAAGGATGTATACTATAAATTAGTATATATCAGAGATGAAAGACTCTCTGAAAAATTGTTACTGTCCAATTTTTAAAACCATTTGCAAAAAATTACCCGCTAAAGAAATAAAGAGTGCTGAAAGTCCTGCTGAAAGTTCATCTTGAGTAAGCTCATCCTCGATAAAAAGAAAGTTTGATGAAAGAGCCTCGTCTTCCTCTTCCTCTAAAAAGGCTTCATGCTCAAAGTCATATCTCGAATACCCTCCAGGATTTGAGGAATATGCACAAATGATAAAAGAAAAGGGCGAACTTGAAAAAGAATTTGATCCTCATATGTCTGTATCTCAAATTGGTGAGAAAACCCCTGATCCTCAATGACTAAATGGCTTTCTAAAAGAAGATCCTGAGCAAAATGAGCTTCCTAAATACTCAGGCCATCCAGGTTCCCCGATGAAAATGCTAAGATCTAGATCTTCCTGAAACTCTTCATTTGAAACATAAAAAATGACGCCGAAAAAATCAAAATCCCTATCCTATTCACCATCTTTTGTTTCCTTACACTCTTATGTTTTAGAAAAAGAAAGTGTCTTAGACAGTCAAGGTAATGTCAGTTTCCCTGAAGTTAATAAACAAGATTTGTATAATATTTCTTTGTTTGAGTTCAATTTTCCATGTCGGTTCGCCAGTCTTAAGTTAATCTCCATGTCAAAGGTAAATGAATTTGTCCTGTACTTTTACCTTTATTTGAAAAATCAGATATTGAAATGTGGAAAAGTAAGAAATATCAATATGTCCATATTGGACAAATAGATATGCTTGTTCATCCACACTTCAATTATGATATAGGAGCAGAATATTTAGTTTCTCTTTTAGCTATCTGACATTTAGAGTGGGAAATGGCCTTGGTATCTCATTTTAGAAGATGTTTAGACAAAGATAATATTTGCATTGTTTTTCCAAACTTTTCTTTGAGTCTAAATGATGAGTTTATTACCAAAGCATTCGTGGTCTGTATGGAAGTAAAATGAGTAAATCTTTTACCAAGGTCTGTGTATGCTACTATAGCATCTAGGTGTATTTTTAACTTAACAAGTTATGCAGTCACCTGTTCAAAAAAATTAGATGACAATGTCAAATTCCCTCAAATTTCAAATTTTGTGTCTGAAGTTGGTTCCTCTGTAAATTTCGAAATCTTCATAACCGGTTTTCCTGCTATTTTTGAATATTTGGAGTCTCATCAATTTCAAAAGAAAAAGCCAAACTTCAAAATGCTGTCCAAAACCCCCTATAGAACACTAGTAAAATACTTCACCATCACCTTGAAACCTATAAACAAATCATTTCAGATCAGCCAAAGAAATACTTTACCCCCCATTCTCCCAGTTATCAATACTACCCCCTCTGTGAGAGAAATTACAGATTCACCAAACAGGGAAGCTGCTCAAATTGCTCAGAGTCACATGACAACCACAGTGAAAAGCAATGTTAGCCAGTCATTAGTCATTGGAGGAGATTGGCTTCCGAAAATGGCTTATTCTTCTCCTACTCGAGAGCAACTAGAAAATCTTGAAGGTCTTACTTCAAGGGCAGATGTGAGCTACCTCTTGGTTCATAACGTTGATTATGTCAGAGTTCGAAAGGACGAAGTATGCCAGTTAAACTACTTAATCCATTGGACCTCATATGCTGAAAAGCATATATCAGCCATAGTCAGATTCAAGAAATAAAGAAAAATCTAGAAATATTGGCTGACAAGAAAGCGAAAGAAATGAAAGAAACGAAAAAGGAAGAAGAAAAAGTTTTGCAAATACATGAGAATCACCTGCAAATATTTGAAAACAAAGAAAGCTACAAAGAGAAAAAAGAAGACGAAGCTGCAAAAGCTTTTAAATTCAAGCCTCTCAGTTTTCCTAGATTTTTTTCTTTTCTTCTTCAAAATTCTGAGTATATGGAAGAATCATCTTCAGTTTTCCAAGTGAAAATGATGAGAATTGCTAGTGCTGAGTAATATAGTCTCAGAAATATAGGAGAAGACATTCCAATTTTAAAATATTCATGAATTAACTCATTCTCCTTCTAAAACAAAACAAGCGATCATTTCTTGGATACACAGAGGAATGTATGTCGGCAGCATAAGAAGATGGTCACACATAGATTCCATTAGATATGCTACAAGATTCTTATTGGCAAGAGCTGGTTATTCGTGGACTATTCTTGATGATGCCAAGCAAAATGTCATTTCTATGGCAGGATTCGCTGAATTAGGGTCCAAATTAATTTCAGAATTTGTTTCTGAATGTCCAATACAATGTGCTACAGATATTGTTCTATTGAGAAAAAGAAAGCTCCAAAGCATTGATGATTTTTCAGAATACTCAAAAAGCTACAACAATTAGTGCTACAGGTTGGAATTACACAATAATGTAATTTGTAATGCATATTAGTATCCTTGAACTTGTGCTTGTAACACTTTCAATGAAAAACTTATCAGTGCAAAATCTAGTAACGGCTGATGTAGTGGGATTTGCTAGAGGAGAAATTAAAAAGTTGTGTTGCAAAGATAATACCAGGACATACTTTAAAGCAGGATCTAAGGTATGCAACACCATTGAAGGAGTAGAAGAATGCAATATTCCCAAATTTCGAAAAATTCATAAA